AAGACAGCAGTAGCTCTTGGTCCTCTCTGGTAAGTTCAGAACTCAATACAGAATTGGAGAATAATTCAGATTGGAAGGACCTCTGGAGGTCAGCCATTCAGTCATAGAATAAAAATGCAAGTCTGCTGGGTAAGGAGGTACAGCAACTGGGAGGAATTCATGAAACATTTAATTGATCTGAATTTAGTATGGTATTCAGTTCTTGCTTTTGTTAAGAGGGTTCAAACCAGTTAATAAACAATAACAGCATCACTTTAAATTTCAGATTCAGTACAAGTGATGTAATACCTCCTGCACAGGAGAACCTGCCTGTGTGTTCTTCTAGTTGCCAGATGTTAAGCAACTCTTTTTTCACTCTGTATTTGTGGAGAATTTATTTAGTAAATCCTTACCTGTGCTGACAGTAGTAAATAATACACTGCTTGGTAATTAATATTTAAATTTTCTCTTGTGAAAAAACAAAAATAAATCTCTTTTAAGTTTTTTTTTTTACCATTTCAAAGTAGTATTAACAACGGCTTACAATTGACAGTACCTTTCTTCTCAGGGTACAGTTACTTTCTCAACATAGTAGGGCAGAAATAAATTGCCATTCCTGAGATCTCTGATTTTTTTTAAAATGAGACCAATGTTACTGTCATTACAAACAAAGCAATTCGGTATTGTTAAGAACACAGTCAGTCTGATAACTCCTGATCAATTTGGGCAAGAGGTTTTTGGAGCAACTTTTTTGCTTTCATTAAGAAGTCTCAACTTTTCATCTGTCTTGCATTTTATAGGTCAGGACCCCTCTTTAACACTGGATTCCTCAGAAGGATGCTGTTTGAGGCTGTCCAGTATGGTTTGGATGAAGCTCAGCCACTTTTGAAGACATTGGTTTGTGAAGCAGAGTGCACAACTTCAAAACATTTTTCTTCCCATAGTCCTTATGATGAGAACAAACAAGGTAAGAAAAATGACAGACTGTTCACAAAAAGAACTGGCTTTGTGGTGATTTAGAAAGATGTTGCTCTTTGATAACTTATTGCTAACAGCATTGTATCCATAATACTGAATGCAGTGTGGGCCTTGTCAGCTCTTGTCAGGTGGTCTTTGGCAGAGCACTGGATTTGGACATCTGGAATCAGTGTGACAGGTCCTAAACCAAATATCATGCAGGCAGGTTGACTGCCATGAGATCCAGTGTATTTCCTGAAGGAGATGGAAATACTGTGTGTGCTAGTTCTTTAGTGTATCCTGATCCTGACCTAAGAGCATGTGCTGTTGGGATGGGAAGACTCCAGCTGGCATGCTGTGCATACTCTGTAGGGTTTGCAAATCAGTGTGCCAAAAGAAATGGCTTTCTGTACTGGAATGCTGTTCCAGTCATAAAAGGAAATCGCATTTTGAATATTTCCTCTAAATTCAAGTTACTGAGAGTTAGTATGTAAAAGTTGCCTATACGCATACTTCTTATTACAATTGCTTCTTTAGGCTAGACTGTGATATGTTTTCTTTATGTTTAACCAAGGCATTTTGCCATTTTACTGTCTTATAGTGGGATTAATTTTGAGTTTTAATTGTATTCTAGAAGAATGTGGAGTATATATTAAAACACTGAATACTGCTGCAGAATCCTACTTGTTACAAGGTAAGTAGATCATTCTGATTTAGCTGTAGCAGTTTCAAATCAAACTATAATTTAAGTGATGGCTAAGCCAACCTAGTGTTCACTTATTTATTTTTCTTAATTTTTATATTTAACAGTACTGCTGTGCAGAAGTATGGGGTTTTTTTTTTTCCCCACCAAATATTGATCTTACTTTATCTTCATCCAGAATAATACTTACTGATAAATGCAGAATGCTAAATATTAAATGCTAAGTACATGAAGCCTACTTGACTCACTTGTTATTACTGATAATGGCATGTTAATTAAATTCAGGCTGGATTTCATTCAACTCTGCAGAATGCTGTCTTACTTGACAGAGGTGTAGTTACTATGTGGCTATTTTTTCTCTGTCTTTGGCTTTACTGGCACTTTTTTGTTGCCTCACTGAATGTTCACTGGTTTCACTGTTATTTTTTTGTGGTCCAGGAAAAAGAAGAAGTGATGAAGTGATTCGAAGTGCAGCCAAGAGACAAAAATCTGATAACAGTGCTGAGCACCCTGCATTTTACTACAATATCCACAGACACAGTATTAAAGGAATGAACATGCCAAAGTAAGTTTAACTTTAATGCCAAAGTTTTGTTTAACTTCTGGTCTCATATTACTATAACAACTGATACGTAACTTGTATTTAGTCACCCTTACAAGCATCAACTCCTTTTTAAATTGCTACTTTAGTTTCTTTTTTACTTTTTGTTTGTTTCTTTCTTTCAGGTTAAATAAGTTCTTAAACTATCTCTCTGAAGCTGGATTCCGAGTAAGTAGAACCCACTTCGATCCTATGGGAGTTCGCACGAATGCGCCCTTGGCACAATTTAAGACTATCCTTACGAAGTACAGCACTCCCACGTACACGGCAGGACAGGCAGAAGGCCCTGTCCATCTAACTGAAGGTGTCCTGGCAGAACAGGTTCAAGCTGCTGCAGCTGTCAAGGCAGAGGATGTTGAGTTTCTGGAAGACAGTAAATCTGGAGTCACTGCTGCCATGTTCACAAATGACTACCCTACTCACTGTGCAGCTGATTAATACAAACAATTTTGTTCATAGATAAGGATATTGCAGACTTGCAGTCACACCCTGTTGAAGTAAGCCACCACTTCTTACCAAACTGGATTTTGAAAATTTGAGTTATCTGCTCTTTTGACAGATGTGTTAGAATTATGTAGCAGAATTTACCCCTGATCACAGCATATGTGTGGTCAAGGTACTGTTACTGTGAAAAGGTCTCGGAGGCGTTTACTTGGATTTATGCTCACATCCACAGTCAAACTTTGTGGCTGCTGCTGTTTGTTGAAGCCTTATTGCTGGCACAGAATGCAGAAGAGTGGATGGGGCCAAAAGTCTTAAAAGCATTTCTGAACATGAGGTTAATGTGAAATGGAATATTCCTAAAATTAATCATTCCTAAAACCTCACTGGTTACAACTCAGAGGGGCTCACTTTAAGATGGTAAAATGAGACAGAATAAAATGTTATCCGAGTTTAAGCAAGTTAGAAAGTTCTGGCTCAGGACGTCTAACTCCAGATTGCACATGTAATTTGGCATTCAGTTCTGTTTTCATTGTTCTGCCTACAAGCAAGGACCTAGCACAGGTGAGAATGGAGTAGAATGGTTACGCGACTGTTACTGAAACTTCCATTTATAACCAAACTTTAGTGAATTGTGTTAGTCACTCCAGGTAGTTGTTTGGTTAGAGATTACATTTGGTTGAGTATTGCAATAACGGTACAGTGACAATGCACCACAGGTTGGAAGTTCTGCTGCGAATTTGTCAGTAATACAGTCTTAGTGGTTAAAAAGATCTCTTCTGTGAATGAGCAAAGATGCTGTGTGTTGGTAGTCAGTTCTGGTTTCCTTAAATACATGGCGACATTCCAGCCAAATAAGCTTGATTTTGTCCTTTCTTTTCCCCAAACTTTGTTCAGATACCTCCATATATTCCGTCAAACTGTCAAACTTGAACCAGTCATTCCAGTTTTTCACAGGTTTGGCATTAGGTTTATCTAAGAACAGAATGTGAGAGGTTATTACTTACCCATCTCTGAAGCTTCACAGTAAGTATTTCTTCTCACACATTGAATGCCAGTCAAGAGTAACATGACTGATACACCTCTGATTATGCAAAACTCCCTAAGCTCCTACTAGGCCAGAAAGCTGGTGTTCCCTAGTTCAGATTAAGTGGAGACACTGTTGGAAGACTTCATTTGCAGACAACACCCTGCTTACTTGAGTGTTAATATTTAAGTGGGATAGAATCAGTCATAAAGTCAGTTAACCAGAGCAAGAAAGAATGCTCCAATTACAGTAAAGTAGGCTAAAAAGAGTTTAAGTGAAGCCTGTTGTAGGAAATATTTTTTATTACTTTCACAGTTCCTCCCAATAACAGTATTGTGCACCTTTTCTAAGTCAAAGCAACTAGTCCTTGATTTTTGCAGATATGCACAAGGAGGGGCACAGAAAGTGGAAGTTCAGGCTTTTCCTTGCAATTCAGACTTTTTTCCTCTGTCAGATGGCCAGAAGCCATCAAAATCTGGGACAAGGAGATTTGTCTGTTTTAAGTAAGTGACCAGCAGAAGGGGTGTTGTAACTCAGGCCTGTGAGGATTCACCTTCTCTTCAATAGATGACTCAGTTGTTCATCAGGTAAGGTCCTGCAATAATTAGTTAACAGAACACTGGTGTTGGTTCAGGGCTGTTGTTTAGGCTGTTGTTTTGTTATTTTGCAATTCTATTATAAGGTATGACTAGTACCTCAACCCAAGTGATGTGTGCCAGTTATACTACACTGTTTATATTGAAGCTGCTTAATACACAATTAAATGCAACCAAAGCTGCTGGGTTTAACCCGAGTGCTGTGAAAATCCTTCATCCTATTTCTCGTGGTACAGAATATGATTAGAACAGTAGCACGTGTGACTGGTAAGTGGTAAAGCAGCTATCTTTTATATAGATTTGCATTTCTCATTCATGGCATGCAACATGCACAGGAGCTCAGCTGGTTTCAATGGACTAACTGTGCTGAGGGCCAGACTCAGATCGACACTAGTAGAAGTCAGCTGGTCCCTTTCTTTTGGACAATCACAAACACAGCGGCACTAATAAACAAGCAAGAGTTGTCCAAAGGGTTTCTTTCATGAACTGTAGGAGGAAGTAGCACTGGAATTATTACCAACAGGTTATTGACAACATTTTTTCTTTTATTGTCAGTTTGACAGTTTCAGTGTGACTACTTGAATACTAGAGCTATTAGGCTTACATGTACCTAGCACACATTATGTTCTTAACATGGCTTTAAAAAGTGGAAGGGTAAAGTTGTCTTGAAAACAAAGGTTTATAGGAGTAAAGAGCCACAGTGCAATCAATGGTTTAATCAAACAACTACATTATATATATATAATATTTAAAGAACATAAATATTCAATAAATTCACTACAACATGAAAATAAAAGCTTCACATTCTCCCACACTTTTTAAAGAACTGGGGACAAAGTGACAGACACCTCCTAGACAGACTGCTTAGTTTCACAAACATCTCTCTTTCTTAAGGGACTGAACATTACCTTAGCTATCACAATGGGAAGGTATGCTGCAACTAATCTAGAAGATTCCCCATATATTTTAAAGCATTTATAATGACTGCTCCCACCCCTCCAGATTATATTTAGCGGACATGCACTACTAGTCTACACAATGCAACATTTCACCAGAAATTCATGAACAATGTAGTTCCTTAAAAACTGCCCCCTCTGCTGGGGCCTGAAAACTTCTATTTCCTGTCACACACAAAAAAAAAAAAAAGTCTTTCCAGTAAGAAAAAAAAAGTTACTCAAAGGAGTATGTGCAGTTTTCACATTGGGATACAGCTGATATGAAGCAGCAGTCAGAATGGATGCATATTTACAAGTGCTAGGCTTGAAAGACACAAGCCATGGAAGGGTACTTCCTTCTTTACATACCACATGCCAAAACTGGTCTTAATTACAGGCAAGAAGAAGGAGCAATACCATATGGTTTAAAATACATTACTTCTTGCCTATCGTAGCAATTTTTCTTGCTTCTAGCTTCAGGTGCAAACGGGTGCAAGATTCATCAGCAAGTCTTAGAGCAAAGGAAATTCACAGTAACATATTTTCCCTTAAAATGGAATGCTAATGATTAAAGTGACCCCAATTAAGTGGCAGCAAGGTCCAGAGGGAGGTAAGAGGAATTTAACATGCTAACGAACAGTAGATACTGGACTTCACGCAACAGCCTACTGCCAAGTTTTAAAACTTGAACCTAAATTTAAGACACTTAAATGGTAAACTTTGTCAAGTACTAAAATTGTCTTCCAAAGTGCTAAACCACATTTGTTAAGCTATGGTAAAAAAAGTAAAAGAAAACAAACCTCAAGCAGCTTATGTCCTCCCTGCTCAAAACTGAAGGCAGGATAAGCTCCCAGCTGGGGTGGTGGGGTGGCACAAATTCCATAAAGCAAAGCATTTTGATGTTGCATTATGTCCATGTGCTGGAATTTGGGGCATTTGCTTTTAAAAAAACCCAGACTTTTCAGAACATTCTAATACCTTCACAATAAAAATCTGTTATTACAGGGAACATAGTAGGGCTGTAAAACTTCCAGATTTTCTTCAATTAGGCTTGTGAGGACACTACAACATAGATCACGTGGGAAGCTGCAGTGTCCATCAAGATTGGCATGTTCTACATGGGAAAGTTACGGGTTTGGCTTGTTTAGGGTTTTTTTTTTTTGATTGGCTTGCTTTTTAGTGGATATTTCAATCTCATGAATCACCTTGCACTGAAGTATTAGGCCCAGTAAACAGCAAGGTTTTAAAGTGTCGGTTTTCTCACTACATCTCTGTTCACAAGAAAATGATTAATTGGATTACTTCTAGCTGGAAGACTATCAGAAATCCTTTACCAATCTTTTATATGGATAACCATTAGCAAAGTACAACATTTAACACATTCCTTTGTATATGTTACTATTGAATAGACTTACTTAGCCATCCAATGCTCAGTACTTCACAGAGGCTACTATAACTGTGTCAAATGTATTAGAAATCCAGATTTACCTGGACAAAATAAGACATTCCAAACTGGAACACTCATTCAGTTATCATGCATTAGGAACAAAAAAGCATGTCAAACACTGGAATGCACTGGAGAAGGTCATTTAGTCTCCTAGGGAAAAAACAAAAGCCCAAAACAAAGACTAAATTAAATACAACCCAGAATACTGTCTAATCATATTAATAAGTATACTGAGAGCCTGAAGGCATCATGTGTATTGTCCATGAATGTAATGGTGGTGCTTTCTTTTAATATTAAAGAAGTCATAGCTATAAAAAGAGTTAGTCCCATCTCAGTTTTCCAGCACAGCTTATTTATGTTCCTTTGTTGGTGCATAGTACAGTTCCATGGGTTTGTTCACTTTCCAGTACTTCTCACTGACCAGTTCCAAGGAAAAGGACCCATTTAATACCTAGAAGAGAACACCAAAACAGAAATGAACTGTCTGATGGTTTGCAAAGCTATAGAAACAGACTATTTAAAGTGGAGGATTGTGCCAGCTTAAGGGAGTCACCAATAATGTGGCACAAGTTATTAGCTAAACACCAGGTGTTAAAAAGCAGCAATGCAAACTGTTGTGAACTCTTGCTGATCTCACTAAAACAGCACCCAAGAACATTTTTGCAAAGTGAATATGGTTGTAAGTAAACTTCAGTTTTTCTCTTTCCTCTTTCTGCAAACAGGGGACTAGTAGATCGTATTTAGACAAGAGCAGAGATGCTTCTGGTGTAAGGGACATCCTCTAGTCATGTTTGAAATAGACTCTTAATGCAAAGCATCTGCTTATCTCTGACTGGTTACTTGGGACATAGAGAAGGCAGACATATTTAATCACTTTTTTGCTTTGGTCGTCACCAGCAAGTGCTCCAGCCACACTGCCCAAGTCACAGAAGGCAAAGGCAGGCACTGGGAGAATGAAGAACTGCCTACTGTAGGAGAAGATCAGGTCTGAGACTGTCTAAGGAGCCTAAAAGTACACGTCTATGGGACCTTATGAAATGCATGTGTGAGTCCTGAGGGAACTGGTGGATGAAGTTGCCAAGTCATTTTTCCCTTATATTTGAGAAGTCATCGCAGTCTGGTGAAGATCCCACTGACTGGAAAAGGGCAAACATAACCCCCATTTTTAAAAGGGGAGAAAAGTAAGACCCAGGGAGCTACAAACCAGTCAGTCTCATCTCAGTGCCTGGCAAAATCATGGAGCAGTTCCTCCTGGAAATTGTCCTAAGGCACATAGAAAATGAGGAGGTAATTGTTGACAGCCCACATGGCTTTACCAAGGGCAAATCATGTCTGAAAAATTTGGTGTCCTTTTATGACAGGGTGACAGCATTGGTGGATAAGGGAAGAGGAACTGACATCATCTGCTTGGACTTGTGCAATAATTGACACTGTCCCACGCAATGTCCTTGTCTCTAAAATGGAGAGGCATGGATTTGCTGGATGGACAACTCAGTGGATAAGGAATTGGCTGGATGGTCACACTCAAGAGTTGCAGTTGCACTCAAAGGTCTCTGGGTGGAGACAAGTGACAAGTGGCGTTCCTCAGGGGTTGGTATTGCGACTGGCACTGTTTAACATCTTTGTTGGCGACATGGACAGTGGGGTTGAGTGCGCCCCCAGCAAGTTTGCTGATGACACCAGACTGGTGCAGTCAACATGCTGGAAGAATAGGGATGCCATCCAGAAAACCAACCCTGTGCTTAGCTGCATCAAAAGCAGTGTGACCAGCAGGTCAAGGGAAGTGATGCTCCCCTTCTATTCCACTCTTGTGAGACCCCACCTGCAGTACTGTGTTCAGCTCTGCGCCCCCCAACATAAAAAGGATGTGTGCTTGAGTGAATCCAAAGGAAGATGCTCAGAGGACTGGATCACCTTTCCTATGGAGACAGACTGATGGAGTTGTTCAGCCTGGAGAAGTGAAGGCTCCAGGGAGACCTTACAGCAGCCTTCCAAGTACCTATAGGGGGCCTACAAGTCTGAAGGACTTTTTATAAGAACAACTAGTTAAAGACATGGGGTAATAGCTTAAAATTGAAAAAGTAGATTTAGATCAGGTATTAGGAAGAAGTTCTTTTTTGTGAGGGTGGTGAAGCACTGGAACAGGTTGCCCAGAGAAACTGTGGCTGCCCCATCCTTGGAAATGTTCAACACTAGGTTGGATGGGGCCTTGAGCAACCAGGGGAGTTAGAACTAGAGGATCTTTAAGGCCCCTTCCAATCCAAACCATTCTATGGTACAATTTTATGATTAATCATATGACTTACTTTATTCAGATAAATGCCCAGGCTCAGAGATCAATCTAATTGAGATAATGCCTTGTATCTATATTCTGAAGTCAGCAACTGACAAGAGTGGTTCTTCCCTGAGCATACTCAGCTGTTTCATGGTGGAACTGTGGAAGCCTACATGAAAGTGGAGAAATGCCACCTTAAAATAGATGCTTTCTAGTGCTAGAGCTATCTGCTCTTGAAACAAGATTCTCAGATGAAGTAATATTTTTTCTCTTAAATTTTAACTCTAAAATAATAGCATAAGTCAGCTTGTAGTTGCTGTCATCACTGCATTTTCCAAAAGTAATTTATATACCTCCTTTTCTACTACCAAAGTTTTTGCTGTACACTTTTTCTTAAAAAAGCAATGTATCTGTGTCTCTAATAAACAATCTGCTGCTATGAATTTTACCCCTAAGCCAAGTGCAGAAAAGTCCAGATGAGTGGATTTTAATGAGATCTATATCAAAGATATACTGATGCTCAGTGTTACTCTTAGACACAAGTTCTACTCACAGTGAACTGCCCATTGGCAGTAGCAATGTAAATAGTATACTGCTTCTCACTGGCTGTGTCAAGGTTCATCTGGTTTGATTCTCCTTTGCTACGAAGCTCCTCCAAAGCCAATCTTACTGCTAGGTACTTGGACAAGTGATCAACAGTGGCATTGCCTGAGGTCTTGATGTATCTGTCACAACAACCACAAAGATAATCAGACATTTGAGTTGCAGGTATGGGAACAAGACAGCTGGAACACCCCTAGATATTAAGCATCAAGTGTGAAAGGCCTTTAAAGACAGTTTACAAATAAGAATTATAATTGCTTTCACCCCTGACTTGCAAGCAGCTTACCAAATTAAATTGCTCCTAAGTGCCCTTGCATCTTTTTGACACTTCTCCCACAGACCCTCCTGCTCTTTTGTAGAGAAGACAACACTGTCCTGTCATCTGCTCAAAATGAAAAACCTTGTAACAGGTTCTCAAGGGGTTTTGAGAACTACTCACAACTGCTGAAATCTGATCATAAATACAGTCTGAAGTGTCTGGACAGAAAGCCATGAAAGTGCCAGAGCTATACATGAGACACTCGCTGTGTTAAAGTTACTTATTGTCTCACAATCTGCTCTCACTTCAAGTCTTTATTCAAGAATTAAAGACTGACACAAATTTCTTTGTGCCTTTCAGCACAACCCCAAGAATTCCCTTGCAATTCCAAACCAAAAAGAAAAGCTGGCTGAGGCTTATAATACATTTAAAGACACTACAGAGATATGTTTCATCATGACAGGACGCCAGGAAGGGACCTGAGGAAAATATGAGACTGCTCATTGTTGTGATCCAAAATTTGCAGTCTGTGCTTGGACTAGATCATGAAAAAAAAATGCCAGGAAAAGCTTCCAGCCTACAAAACCACAAATCCTGCTGACACAAAACTGCTCTGAAAACTGCTGACATGGATAGTTTGTTTATTCCCAAAGAATCTTAGAATAAGTAGAAAGGGGCTGCTACCATCATCCTAGTACCTACTGTGAATTGCAACACTAGAAACTCTTAAAAACATCTTTATTTGCAAACAAAGGCTTAAACCAGATTGTTACTGTATTTTTGATAATCATTGAGCAGTACCATCTACCTGACTTGAAACAGAGAGGAAGAGTGCACATAGTTAAACAGCATTTGGTATGACCAAAAGTAAATTGATTTTTAAAAGCCCCAAGAAGTGATAGAAAACAAAACCACCAGAAAATAACAGCAGCATTCATGAAGAGGAATAGAAGACATTTACCTTGTCTGTGCACTGTCATCATTCTCCATGAGGGTCGGATGAGGCCTGAAGACTAATTCAATTTCACTAGCACCATCCATTACAGGGTCTATTGCCACACTTGTGTTGTTATTGTCCAGTTCTAGCCCAGAATCATCCGATGTTTTGGTTCTCTTATTACTAGGCCCAGCTTCCTGATTGCTGTGTGTTGAGGCATTGCTACAGTGTGAACTGTCACCGTTATCTTCTGCACCACTACCATTCTCAATCTGTTGTTTCTTGCCCCTCTGCAACCTAATCAGAAATAGGTAGAAATAAACACTAAGCCAATACAGCGTATGCACAAGCTTCTACAAAGTTTAAACAAAAAAAAAAAATCCATTCTTACTAAAAAAAAAAAATCCCAAACTCATAGACAAGATTATAGATTTTTTTTGTATCCCTCAAAAATCTTTTAGACATGTTATAGGCATGGGTTTAGACATGTTTTAAGATAATTTTTAACTTCATATGGTTATTTTTATTTTTCGGTCAATTTCAGACCCTTATTTTCATCTAAATATGAATCCGTATGTGATTAAAAACACAAATGACACCATGCTTCACCACAACATCTGGGGCCTCCTTCCCAGCTGGCTCTCTTAGATTTAAATACACACCCAGAATTTCACTACTGTGCGAAAAACACTTATTCCAGCCTTGTGAATTAAGTCAGAACTAAAACATAAGTTCTGGTGTTATGTGCACTTATTTGTATGTAATGATAATATGTTGGAACAGGATTAATTGCATTACAGTTTATTATCTAAAACACAATAGCCATAATTTGGTAAAGCTAAAATGAAATCTGTCTACATCAGACTGCCACAGAAGTTGCAGAGAGTGATACAAAGGTTTCTATCAGTAGATAAAACATTACAAACTATTTTGGCAGACTTCGAGGAGAGAAATCTCAAGCTATACAGGGAGTGAGGGCAGACTGTATTTTTAGTGTTAAGGTAAACAAGGCTACACATGGACAAATCACATGGATTACATACCTGTTCATAGCTTGAATCTTTAATCCTTCCTCAATGCTGTGACTTAAAGCTTGCTGGTTATTGTGCTTGCTGATTCTTGCTAGCACTCTCTCCTGATGAGCTTCATATTCATCTCGGCTTGGATAAATTTTACTGATGAGAGCATCAAAATTGGGATCTGGTCTCAATGACCTCTTTGAAACTAGCTTTTTACGACATGTGGGACATTCTTTGTTGCTGGACATGAACAAGAAGGAAGAAAACAATACTAACTCTCCAGCAAGAACCAGTCTGTTCTGACACTGCAGTTCATAGTCAAAGTGCTCATTAACACTGAATATTTATAGTCAATCTGGAATAGGGCTTCTATCTTTTGACAGATCAGGTAGTTACAAAAAAATATTGAAACAAAAACCCCCAAAACCCCAAACACATCTCCCTGCTTCTTGGGGGGGTTGTTTGTTTTGTTTTTAAAGTATGTTTAAACAAACTGTATTTAAGAGTTCAAAAGTTCCACTCTGCAAACCAGTTCTTCCCTTAACCCTGTGACTGGATTTTCACCTAGAAAAAATGCATGCCTAGCGGAAATTATATTAAGGCATAGTCTTTCTAGCACTTACAGGACAAAAGAAAGATTAAGGAACCTGTTCTGTAGTTCAAGCACTAACTACTGCGAAAACTAAGAGAGTCTTCTCCTTCCTAACATTTTGTTCCCATTTAACTAAAATGCTAGGCTCACACAATGTTTTTCCTGTTAAAGGGAGAGGCCTGAATAGCTGAAACATTGGCATCATTGCTTTCTTGTTTCTCTGTAATATATTTTTGCTCATTACTCATCAGAATTTACAGAGGCACAGTAAATTAAGTGCGAACACAAGTAATTGCCATTATCAATAGATGCATCATTGAGTTAGTTACTGTTGGTTACCTCAGAATTCCACTGCTTTTGGGGAAATGTGAACTTGTAACTGAAGAATACTTTTACTTTATCATAAGTTGTTTCAGTACTGAAGTTTGGAAGCAGGAACACAGTTGAAAGGACACATGATTTGCAATTTATTATTAGGAAAAGGAAGAAGAAGGGAAATGGGACTCATTTTTGAAAGAAATGTGTATTTTTTTGGTTTGCTATTACTGGATCTTAAAAAAAAGAAAAAAGAAAAAGAGAAAAAAGATAAAAGAGGTTTTTAACTCCTTGCAAGAAAGTTATAGGATGATTTTTCACATGAGGAAACAAACAGATCTGGTCTGCCACAGATAGCTGAACACACAAGAATGAAAATGGAAGGTGTGCTACACATTCAGAAGCTTGCAGGGCACAGGCACGTAACCGTTCCACATCAACACCCAGGACTTGATGGATTTGCTTGATCACATTTTCATCTAAAGTGAAATCCCTTTTCTTGTAATAATATTTACATACCCACTCCTGAGGGCTGTAATGATACAGTCAGCACAGAAGCGATGCAAACATTCTTTTGTTGTCATGGTGTTTTTTAACATATCCAAGCAAATGGGACACATCAGTTCACTGTGCAGGCTCCTGGGTGACACAACTATTTCCAAGCCATCAGTGATTGCTTCCTAACATAAAATAAAGTACAAGTTCTTTAATGGAATTTAGTATCTTTTTCAGAAAGACTGCATGTTTTCCTATTTCTTTAAAGAGAAATACAGTAAAAAAAGAAAAAAAAAAAAAAGACATGCACAACCACATCATGCATGCACACACATGCTGCTAAAGAAAGGAAAAGAAACTCCAACAACTTTATTTTTGGTTGCTTGGCTGGTTTTAATATCACAAGAGAGGTTTTGTTTTGGAAGGATTTCGTTTTTAAATATGGTATAATTTAGAATAGGCAGTTAACACTCCTAAAGGACAATCTTACACATCAAGCTTCAAGTTCTAAAAAGTATCTTAAAAAGCCCGGCCATAAAGGCCAGTTCTTTAGCACATATTACCTGAGGTGTTCTTTGCAATTCATACAAACTGAGCTCCCACGTCTTGCTTAAAGGTTGCGTCCCATTCGTCTGCACGGCTTGAGACATGGCTGGGAAGAAAGAGAGAAATAAGTTTCACACTCCCGTACACTTGGCTAAAGGAGCCAGCTCTCTTGAGCAGGCCTCTCTGGCAAGTGCACAGTCACAGGAGTCTGTGCCAACAAAGCAGAAACACAGGAGGAGCCCTTGTTCATCCAAGTACCAGGCTCCACTTTGTTACAGATGGCTAACCCTGTGCTCTGTACCACTCCAGAAAAATTAGAGGGAGTCAGTCAGCCATGAACGCTTTGCAAAAAAATCAATTAAGGCGGTTAAACAAAAGTGACACAGAACTGAAGGCCGTAAAATTTGGCTGTGTGATGTGAAAGCTGCAAATGCCACCTGATGTGGAAAACATTCATAAAACATCCACTTACAAATGTGCATGTGGGTCAAACAGGGTCTACTTCCTAACCAAGTGGAAGGTCATGATTATACACAGCAAACTAGCTACACATGTTCACTGGAAGCATGCTATAATGCTTTTCTTTTTCCTCCTGAAAATACATCATCAGGGGTTTCCAATCAGAATTTTAGAGAATTCTAAAGGTCATGTAAAACCTAGCCACTGGGTAATTTTAATCAAGAGCTCCAATTTTACTGCACAGTCCTGCTGGGCTTCAGTTGATGTGTACCTGATTCTCAATGACCTGGGAAGGTGGGGGAGGATGGGGGTGGTGAGAAGCTTTTAAGTTTCAGAAACCCAAATCATACACACATTATCAGGTTTTTTTGTATCATTTTTTGTACCAGTAGTGGTAGACAGATACTTCTGGAAATAGACAGGGATAGAAATAACTGCACTCAACAGACAACTGATAGACTCCACAACCACTGCTGCAGAATTTGCTCACAGGGAAAGGGGAGGGGACAGTCATCTCCATCTTTCCCTTGAGGCAGGAAAACTTACCCCACACTGTGTGGCATGTTTAAAGAATAAATGTAACCATGTAAGAAGCAAGACTGTAGCTGCAGACATTTCTACTAGGTGGAAAAATCAGAGCGCTTTCTCCCTTTTTACAAGGGTTTTTTTGTTGTTGATGTTTGGTTGTTTTTTTTTTAATTAACCTAGGTTTGTATTTTGAGACCATCCAAATCAGCAGCCACATGCAGAATCTACTGGTATCTGCCAGGTACATTATAATCCCCTTTCCAATTCATCAAGTTCTATAGGAAAAGTGTCAAACTCTCTGGAGAACAAGGTTGCTTTATAAGCTTTACTTAATTGTTGAGGGAAAAGCGATAGAAACAGTGCAGCAAAGATTATTATATCTACTTTTACCCAGGCACAGAAACTACGGTTTTCTCACCTTATGAAAAAAGGAGAGGTTAAAGAAAAAAGAACAGCCTGACAAAGTAGCCAAGTCCACTACTGTGTCTAATAAGCAATCAGGGTCTGAAGACGTGTCAAAAGAAATAATTAGGAGATGACAGACTGTCAACTCCAATTTTTACTATATAAATGTTGTGCCCTAAAAATGCAGTTTACTTGCCACAAGAAACATATTCCTCTGTGTGGATCAGAAAAGTAAGATCTCACCTCCCCATTAAAAGTGACAAGCCATCATGACCCACCTGCAGACTGTCAGCTCCCAGTCTGGCCAAGCATTGGGCTGTCCTGTCAGGATTGATGGCATTTTATTTAAATTATTCAGAGGTATGAATTTAATTACGGTATTGAGTGACAAATCTCAGTAAAGAAGCACCACTGAAAAGCATACTAATGGCAAATAAAGGAAACAGTATTTCTGTGTTCTAATTTCCACTATTATTTAAGGTAATTCCAGGCATATAGGAAGCGAAATCCTCCAGGATAAAGATTTTTATTATGCGTTGTTGACAGTCAATTGTTGTAACAGAGGCCCAACATTATTATTCTGTGTCCACACTGGATACTGCTCTTGAGTGTTTTAAAAGCTGACACATTTAATTAGCTATCATTCCAACTACTAAAAGAAATTTGTGAAGCTGCTGATCATTCACACCTTTCCCAAAATCTGCTGAAACACATAGTCAAGACTGCAGCAAAGACAACTAAGTCCCACTAAATCCAACCCGCATTAACAGAAAAGCCTGCTCCAAACATTATGTAGCTCTACCACAGTAAAGAGCTCACCTAAGCAGCCCCATAGTAAAGAGATCATCACATGCACAAGTAACTTCTTGCCTAAACTTGCAGGCCTACACTTGCTCACAGAGAAAAGCAGCTCTCCAGGTGCCAAACTGTCAGCAAACCTATCAATCTGGAGAACGAGTGTATTAACACTACCATTTATATTGCAACCTTGCCTACAAGCTTGAGGCTACACTGCAGAACACATGGTATAAGTGTCATGATAAATAATTGATCAACTTTATTCTACAGGCTTCTAATCTGAGATGCCAAGTCCTTCATTCTCACCCCAAGGCCTGCAGTAATACCACTTTAAATTTTTTAAGGAGGAAAACCCTGGTCTGAAAGCTGGACAGATTCACACAATCCGCTTCATCACTAGTAAACACTTCCTCTGCCTCTGGTATGTCCAAAGTCAAAATCTGAGCACCAGTGGAAACATGGTCAATTCAAACATGCTGATCAGATCTTTTCCATTTCCTAAACAAAGATGACCAGATCTCTTCTTCACAAGTCACACATGCTAGCATTAGAAACAGTGTGAAATCAGGTACCTCCTGTGATCCTTTTCTCATCATTAGGTTTTCGAAAAATCTTCTAACACACACCACAACTTTTTAATTTGCATCAATTTTTATCTTTATGACTTGTATATACCCTCTGGATATAAGAGGAGAGCAACCAGCCACACAACAGGCTGATATAAGGGGGAGAAGCTACATTCCTGTAGGCAGATCAAACATCTTCCTCTCAGAGTCATTAAGGAGTCCTAGTTGTTGTGATTTATGATATAGCCAGAGGACAGTATTCTAAGGAAACCTGCAATCCTTCAGACTGACTCAGTCTTCAAGGCACAGTAAAACTCTTAAGGACAAACTTAATAATTATAGAGTGCACACATCTGTCACTATCAAAGCAAGAGCTGACTGATATAACCAAAAGAATGTATTACAGATCTGAGAGCCAGAAACACTATGAATCTCTTCAGGTTTGATTCCTTGTCACTCCCCAGTTCCAAACAGCATCTAAAAAAAGGGAAGCAAGCTAACATTCAGTATTTAGTCATAAAACTTGCCTAGTTGTTTAGCGTTATTTATAGAAGAAAACTGGAAGATGAGACAGGGAGACTGCTAAAGATTATCAGAACATGTAAATTTTGATTTCTTTGTACCCAGAATATTTTCGAGTTTTCCACATTGCCAGAATATCAAAACCAAAGTAAAATAAAACTCACCTGTACTGCTTTTAAGGAGCTTCAGAAACTTTTGATCAATATTATATATAACCAAACTTTATCTACAAGTGGAATAGCCCCCTAACTAGAGCTGGGAGATGAGCCCGCCAGCTTCAGGGAAAAGCACCATATAACTTCATTTGAAAATCTTGCTATTTAATTTGCATTTCCTTGTAAAACAGGCTTATGCAATCTTGCTCCTTTTGCTCATCCATCTGCAGACTATTTTGTAAAACAAATTTGAAGACAAGTAGCTGATGTTTAAAAATGTAACAAAACAGACCTTGTTCCTGAAGCACTGGAAAAGGGAGACAGTTACAGAAGAAAATAACAGTATGAAAGACCCCACCAGAAAAGCCGCTCTGATCTGCCTACTGACTGGGGAATTTATGCCAACAAGTCCTTCCAATGCACTTAAAAAAACCCTCAAGCAGAGCAACATCTGCACTTGTCACACCACATCCACTTTACAAACTCTTATACTGGAATACACTTGATTAATTGCTCAAATATAGTCATGAGTCACAGCAGGCTGGGCATTTGGGTGTCCCATTCCTGAAACTGGCCAGTAAATACAAATTCCAGCTGGCAAGAAGTACACTTCAGACCACTCAGAGCTGCAGACAGGCTGGCTGCTCTGGCTACAAGGCAGCCAAAGGAGGAGCTCAGCAGCAGCATGTCACTGCTCCTGCTCTTCCCTACTTTACCATTTCAGAGGTTTAAACCACCCTGAAATTCATCGACGTATAATCACTCAGACTTATTTGCCATTTGTGAAATTTTGAGATTTCCTGAGCTCTAGCTTAGAACTTAACCTTGATGGTGGTCCTTCTTTAACCAGGGAGCCAGGACTTTCTACCAGATGCCATCAGAGACCACTCAGAACCTGAATTATCCTCCAAAACACTTTGCAGTGCCTATTTTAGCCCAGGCAAAGGCTAAAGAGCAACTGTATGTGTGGTTGTGTTAGCACACCTTGAGATCAAAGAAATGGTGGAATGGCACCAAGCAGCTGGAAGAGATAACCATAACTATACCACACAGGCACAAGTTCACCCCCTACAGTGGGATAGGGAAGAGAACTGGAAAAAAGCTAAAACGTGTAGGTTGAGTTAAGAACAGTTTAAAAATTAAGGTATAATACCATACTAATACTCATAATAATAATAATAATAATAATGAAAAGGGAAATAACAAAGAGAGAAATAAAAAAAAAAACCAATAAATAGTATGATAGCCAACACCATTGCTCACCACCTTCTAACCAGGGCCTAGCTCATCCCCAAGAAGCAATCAGCCCGTTCCAGGTAACTCCCCCCAGTTTATATACTGGGCGTGATGTGCTGTGGTATGGAATAACCCTTTGGCTAGTTTGGGTCAGGTGTCCTGTCTCTGCTTCTTCCCAGCTTCCCATGTCCCTCCTCCCTGGCAGAGCATGAGAGACTGAAAAGTCCTTGATTGTGGTAAGCATTACTTAGCAACAACTAAAACATCAGTGTGTTATCAGCATTGTTCTCAGAATAAATCCAAAACACAGCACTGAACCAGCTACTAGGAAGAAAACTAACTCTGTCCCAGCCAAAAACAGGACACTGCTGTTGAGCTCAAAACAGTGTACTGATCTCTGATACTTTCATGAAAAAAAAAACAAAAACAAACAAACA